TCTATAAAACATGTTGCATCAAACTTATAGGAGATATGACTACTTAAAGCCTTTGCCAATGTTAACTTTCCAATTCCACCCATGTCAATAATCCTCAAACTACAAGTATTTTGAAATTTGTCTTCCAATTCAATTATCTTTTTTTCTACACCAATTAATTTTAAAAATTTAGAAGCTTTGTCATTAACTTGTAACTATTCACAATCTCTTAAATCTGAGTATCATAATATTTTATATAAATAAAAATATCCATATCTATTATATTTTAAGTTATACAATATATTTTATTATAGTATTTACTATAATTATACTAAACTTATACTATAATCTTAAGAACACATATCTTATTAATAATTTGATTTGATTAACCAAGCTTTTCTTTATCAATATTCAATGGAGTCGTAGAATTTTAAAAATTGATTTTAAATAAGTACCAAAAGAATCACATCTATTGAATACAAGTGAAAAAATATTACAAATTTACTTTGAAACTTGTTCACCATGGCTTTGAATCCAAAATAATGCCATCCTATGATGTATATTCTTTGTACTTAGAATTTCTATCTTCCAAATGACCTTGGGATATTTCTTTCTTTAACATTGTCAAACTTGTATAAATCTCAAGAAATATAGGCCTCTTTAATGGATCCAAAGAATAATAATTATTTATCAACAATTACAATTCTTGTGAATAAGCATTTTGCAAATTTTATCTTTTACCACCTTCTATATTTCCTTGATAAATTTTAAGACTGCATTCACCATCAAAAGGTTATGTTTCCAAAATAATCTCACTATACATCATGCCAAAATTAAACACATTTGCTTTCAAAGCATTTACCTCTAACAAAGATTCTTCAATTATATTCTTCTTTATAACCTTTGGAGCCATATATCCAATTGTATCTAAATTTCATCCTCTTATGCATACTTATAGATTGTCCTTCACTTCAACTTTTGAAATACTAAAATCATATAACTTCACATGTACATATATGTCATTTACTTTTGGAACATCTATTAAATTAATAATAAAATTATCAAGTTGTAAGTCACAATGTGTTGCCTTCATGTCATGCATATAACATACTCCACAAGTAATTTGTAGCATAATATCTATTGCAATTACTTTTGGAAGTGGCCCTCTTTCTTCTATCATTGTAGATAAGATCACCTTTCTTCATTCCATAACATATTCAAACTCTTTTCTTTCATTAGAAAAACCACAACAAAAAAACTTGATGATATTTGGATGACTTAATACACCTAAAATACTAACTTCTTTTAAAATAGCTTTTTTGTATTCCTTTGATAAATCAACAATAGAAATATCCTTAATTATATTTTTTTAAATCCAACCATTTTATTGAATACATTGCTACACCTCCTTATCTTTTTCCACCTAATCGAATAGGTGGTTTTCTATATTCAAGATGACGATATTCATAAAGGAAGACAATAATGTCCAATTCACGTCCTTTAGCTTTTTGAATATGCATTACTTTTCTTATTAAATAATGTGTAAGTTCAACATCTTCACTTGTAAGTAGTTATTCTTGTAAAATTCCATTAAGACTTTTATCCAATGACAAAAAGTCTTGATCAACTTCATCAATACATGTTGAAAAAAATGTGGTATATTGTTTCTTTTCAATAATCTCTTCAACTTGATCAAGGTATTAATATTGAGAGATGCCACATATGGTGTCAAAACAACATTCAAAGTCTATAAGAAATTCTCTAAAAGTTTCTTTATTATCAATTTGTAACATTATAAATTTAAGCCAATCCTCCTCACAACATTCTTTAATTAAAGCTCTTGCTTTGCATAAAATTTGAAACAAGTCTTTTTTTGCTCCATCAAACACATTTGTATGAGAACTACCAATAATGCTTTGAATTGCCTCAAGTCCCCTTGAAAAATTTTGCAACAAATTTATACATTTCTTTTTATTTAATATCCCTTGTCTCAATGATATTGTAGCCTTTGTTATAATCTCTATCAATAATTGCAAAAATTCTATTTGATAATAATTTAGCAATCTTAGTTGCTTTAATTAAATATTGCATCAATATGAAGTTTGGAAATTGGTGGAATTGCACAATATTTCTTGTGATATCCAAAAAAAACTTCCTTAAGCCACCACCTAGCTTAAATCATATACCATACTAATTTTTAGAAATAATCATAGCAAAAACTATCAAATATATACTTAGAATATAGTATTAATATAATAATATTAATAAATACATTAATAGTAGTACACTAATAATCCATTCTTTAACTAAAATACTTACAATACAATTAAAACTTACAAGTATGACAAGTTTAATGACTCTTAATCAATATTAAAGCTTATTGTGCCTAAAAATTATGATTATTAATATCAAAATAAATAATCATAAAACATACAAAAGAAAAAAAATACCTTAGAAGTTTTGAAGAGCTATTTCAATGTAAAGTCTATAAACAATTCCAATGCCACTAAAAGCATTTCTAATACAAGCCTTTAAAAAAATATATGCTTGTCTTCATAATCTAAAATACTTCAAGTTGGTATAGTTATACATATAATGGTAAATTCCACATTTGAAATATAATGAAATCAAATCAATCCTTGTGTGAAGCACCAAATTTTGCATCCACATAATAAAAATGTAAAAAATTGAAGAATAATTCTAAGTCTTGGTCAACATTGCATCTCTTCACAATACTCTTTGTGGAGTTTGGTAGGCCTCTCCATAGCGAGCCACTACCTCCAGTTGCATAATACACAAACTTTTATGGAAAACCACCCACCTTTAGATAACACCACTTTTTGTTATTCTAATGTTTGAATTCTTTTAAAGATTATTCATTTATGTGTTTGTATGTATGTGTGTACACACACATTAATCAATAAGACAACAACTTGATATGCACTACCATGATGTGATACGTATTTTTTCAAAATCCAATATAAATAAAAATTTAATTCATAATAATTATATCTTTATAAAGACAATGACAACAACCATTATTTCATGACAATTCAATTCTTCATAAACCTAAAATTTTAACTTTTTTAATTTAATTTAATTTAATTTAATTTTTTTTGCAAATAATAACATGCATCATGTTAGTGTGTCAATCCAATGCCATAATATGATGTCAAAATATTTTGTATCAAAAAAATTGTGGTGAAGTTTACATATTCAAATACCCTCAAAAAACAAAAAATACACACAAATCCACAATAGGAATAGATAATAGAAACCACCACTTCATATTTACATAAACTTGTCTTACCTTTGTTAAATTACCTAGTGGACAAGAAATTGTCTATTACAACAAGTCTAATAGACATTTTTAACTATGCACAAATCATGTTTAACCTTTAGCTAATTAAAATCCAACTAATAAACTCTAAAACACGTATGATTAATTCAAAAATCAAAAAAAAAAAAAAAAAAAAAAAAAAACTTGTCATATATCTTGGAGTAGAGATGGATTGGAGTCCAAATAGGAAGAAGGAAGGGAGGGAGGGGATGGGAACAAGGAAAGAGGGCTGGAAATGGGATTGGAGATAAGAGACATGTACAAAATGAATCATGAGGTGAGAAGGGGGGTATAGCTTTAAAAAATTTGGAATATGGCTTTAACAACTTCTTATATATATATATAACAACCACCTTGTGAATTTATTAATTTTATTAGAATATATTTATTTTTAATAATTCAATTTTAGGTAGAGATATTTTTATATATATATATGAAATAAGATGCTATTGAATATTTTTATATCTCTACCTAAAATTGAATTATTTAATATATATATGAAAAATCAAGAACATTTATATTTTTATTTTATTTTAAGAACCAATTATTACCTTCAATATTATGAGATCATTTTAAATTTATTTAAATTTTGATGAAATTACAAATAACATAATAAATCTCTTTATTATCTTCTTCTCCCTGTTTTGTTTTCTTTTGTTTTTTTCATGTTTTCAATTAATTCTTTAAAATATACATTAAAGTACATCACAATAATTATCATTAGAAACATTAGCAATTACTACATACCATATCTATAAATTGCATGTTTATCATTAGAAACATGCAATGGTACCTATAAACATGCAATTTATAGATACCAAAGAAAAAAGAGAAGACAATATAATAACATCTAATACTTCTATAATTTTGATTGCATAAGGAAAAAATGCAAGTTGCCAAAGAAAAACCTCAACACGTTTCTAAGTTATAGAAAAGATTTTAGTTTGCATGTTGGTTTGTAAGCACCTTCACATTTTTTATATGATTTAAGATGTCTACTTTTTTTCTTCATGGGCCTAATAAATAATCTTTAGTAAGTAAAATATTAAATCAATTTTTGGTTCTATTATAGTTACTTAACAAACACCACAATGTGTAGTTTTTAAACTATTGTTTGCAAGAAATAATGTCATTTATATTTTTTATATATTTTTTTTACATTCCAAAGTGGTGATAATAATAATAACCAACAATAATATAACCACACTAATTTTAAGCAATTATTTTGTTTTAAAATCACATCAGTAATTAGAGGCTTTGTAGTATTATTTGTAATTTCGAAAATCCACAGATGTAAATTCTAATTTCATCTTGTACTTTGAAACGTGAAAGTCATTGTTGTTAAATATATTAACTACAATAAAACCATCTTATTTTACTGAAGGTCATTGTTTTTCACAAAAAAAAGAAAAAAAAGAAAAAAAAAAAGGGAAAAAAAAAAGAAGTTGTTGTGTAATATAACCAAATTATATTACCTAGTTGTAATATAACCAATTTATAAGCATTGTTACACTTCCAATGAACTTAACTACACAAAATGTTTCAAATCCTAATTAGAAACGAAGATTAAATCCTCGACCATGTTTCTTAATCAACTAACGTCAACTACTTACACCCTTATCAAGTAAGCTGTAATTTCACGAACAAGTGTTACATGATACAACCTTTTTGCATAATTCTATGAGGACAACAGTGATGTGATTGTTCGCAGCACCACTCTTTATCAAGCAATGAATCTTTTTCATGGCGAAGTCATCAGAATCCTGGCTATTGGTTATGTTTTAGCATAGATTGCTTCATCCTATCCTTGATCTTTTTTCAGGTTGTGCACGGGTTTGCTCGTTGCATGGAATTGAGGTTCAGAGCTTAGTTCGATTGTATTGAAGTTCAATGTAGCAATCTCCTGCGAGGGCAAGGACTAATCGAAGGAGTTGAAGCAGCCATGGATGCGTGCATCCGCAACTCCAGATTGCCGCATTTGAGCTGTGTGCTGAGAGCGACTGGGAAATTCGAAAATCTGAAAACAGTTTCTTTCATGGTCACAGTTCCTTAGGGTTTTGGGATTTTGTGCTCAAGGCAGTAGGGCAAAAGCAGAGTCTATTTTCCCGCTTGTTGGTAAGATGCTCGACCAAAGCAAGCTCGATTTGTAATTTTTTTTGTCGTGATTTTCCATCAACATATATGTGAAGCAGAACAGACTTCAGCATTTGATTCCCGAAGTTGTGATAATTGCGTTTCGACCTAATTCGACGCATACGTGAATGGACCTTCACGTGTTGGATGTTGCGTACTTTATTGCTCCAGTGTTCGGAATGGTTTTGATAATTAGCACATATCTTTTTGTAGCGTCGCTCTCCTTGTCATGAAGTAGGCTTTTCCCAGCTCAGTGAGTTGGCAGCGAGTGAATTCTTGCACATTATTCCTTCGATTAACGATGACTCTAGAATGCAAAGTGTTCCCAAGCTAGAATCTATTATATCATACAGGTTGCTCCAGGCACGAATTGTATTTATCAACGAAACAGGCGAATGGATTTCAGAATATCTTGGTGGATTGTTTCGAAGCATTGGTGATTACCTTAGTGAAGACAACTTTAGAGACCTCTGATTCTGGGATTGGTAGGTGATGCCGCAGGGATACAAGAATCATATAGGGGTATTGTTTAGCGCTATTCGTAATGGCGTCTCACATATTTCCGAGGTTTGTTCAACTTCCGTCGTTCTCAATGTCCTGCAAACCCAGTTCAATAACCTCAGGCATTCTAGTCCGAGCTTCAGGGGCGGTCGTCTCGGTGCTTTCGCGTGCATTATCTTCGAAACCTGAGGGAGCACGACGCTCTCACGCCTTCAACTTTGAAGAATTGATTTGTAGTGCTGTTCTAAATGACAAGAATGCGGGCGAGAGCTTCTTGTTTCAGTCACCCCGATCTGGCGAGAATGTACTCGAATCTGTGGCGACATCTAGTACTTGCAATGGAGAGAAAGGGCTATGGAGTGTTATAATACCTACGTACAATCGTCTTCCAATTCTCAGGAAGTGCCTGCAAGCACTTGAGGAACAAGAGGGTTACGAGCACAGTGGAATCGAAGATTACGAGGTTGTAGTTGTAGACGACGGTTCTACTGATGGAACTCTTGAATTCCTTCAACCTATTCTTAATTCAGTAGAAGTATTTAGAGAGAAACCTATGATGAAAAGAAGCCAGGGAAACGAGGCAAACAATGTCTTGAATGAAAACCTCTCCAGCTCGCCAATACCTGGACACACCTGTGATGGAACATCAGTGCAATCGAGCCGAGTGTTTCCGCATGTGAAGATCATTCGACAACATCATGGAGGTATGAACTAAGCTCTTCCATGTCAACAGTGTACTTGCAAAGGTGGAGGTGGTCATTTGTTCTTTGGCCCGAGCGGAGTCTCGGTTTTCAGCTCATATTCGCAAGGAATTGATTCCATTCCATTCTCATCTCAATGTATTTTAGCCAATTAGCTTAAAGAGCGTGGTCCACCGGAATATGTCCAGGAGCAACCAGGGCAAGGAACTTGGGAGTTCGGACAGCAAGAGGAGCTATTATTGTGTTCATTGATTCCGACCTTGTTGTGACCAAAGACTTTCTGCGAGAGCATGGTGCTGCTCTCGCTGAGGCCCAAGCTGAGCACGGGGATGACAACACTTTCACATATGGCCGTGTTGTAAATACTGCAAATTTCGAGAATCCCAAGTCTGAGAAATTCAAGTTAACGGTAAGTGGTCTTCTTTCGGATGCCCCTTGGTTCTTCGCTTGAGTTTTTGAACCTCATTGTCTGGTGTTTTCATATGGAAGTTAATATTCATCAGAGATGGAATTGTGTTCCAAAATTGAAATTGCCGAGTCAACTTCAGTGATGCTGTTGATTCGTGACCCTTTTGCTGGACGAGTTTTGTAGGGGAAGAACTCTCCATTTTGCAGCTGTGTTGCAAATAGTTTTGTGTTGTCCACTCAGAGGTTGTGTTTAATGCCTTTTGTTTTGCATCTGTTCTTTGACACAGAACATGTCCTCCTTGAATGCCTTTCAGATGGAGTGTATAAGTGGTCACGTTTGGAGTTTTTCTTGCTCATGCAGGACAATTCAGCTGCATTTTTTGCCACTGGAAACGTTGCGTTATCAAGGAAACTCCTCCTGAAAGCTGGAAACCTGCTTGCGTCCGCACATGATGGTCCCTTCGATGCAGATTTTAGTGAGTACGGATGGGAAGACCTTGAGCTGGGGGGTAAGAATTGTTAAGTTCCAACTATAGAACTAAATTAACGACAGTATATAATGAGATGTATGTATTAGCTGGGTGATTTTTTATTTTTATTTTGTACTCATTCAGTGGTTTGGGAGAAAACCTATCAAAAAGCTCCACTTGACGTCAAATCTGTTATCCAAAGCTTCTCGAAGAATGTGAGGCTTTTTATGTGTAGTCTGAAACCCGTTTGCAGTGAGATTGAAACAGGTCGGGGCCAGAATTAAGCATGTCCCCTTGGCTGTAGGATACCACTGGCATCCAGCATTCTCGATGGACCAGATTCCGAAGCTGGTTGACCAGGTTCTTGCTCTCAAATCCTCCACTTCTGGATTAGCTAGGTGTTTCACATTAAAACCAGCAAGCAAATAAATGATTTGTATTTTGCTTTATTGGTAGCCGAATCACATGATGAATTTTTTGAAGATAGAAACCAGTGTAGTCATTTGCACTGTTACTTTGCGCAGGAGCGTCAGAGAGGGCGGAACGGTGTGCGGTTCTTCTTAAAGCATCCCAGCCTTGATGTTCGCCTTATGACTCAATTGACCCTATTTCATGAAGGCATTTGGTTCCTTCTTACACTCGGTGGTTTGCTCACCGAGAAAAACTTGAGACCCATTCTTGGTATGCTTGTTGCTGTTGGGCGCCCGGGTCTTGCTGCCGGTCTGCTCTCACCTACACTGAACTGGCACACCGTTCAGGCTAGCAAGGAAGAAATGAAGAGATTGAAGCAGCAGGGAAAGTTTGTCAAGAGAAAACCGTAGTTCGTTGAGAATACGTAGGCAACTTATCTGAAATGGATTTGACGCTGCCAGCACGAGAAGGGTGTCCATATATAGAGGTGTTCGGATCACTCTTTCTCTGGCGAAGTGGGTGTAGCGCAGAAAATGGCTAGCTTGGTTGAATCAAGCTAGTAAACGTGCTCTGTAACAACCCGCAGATCACTAAATTGAAAACTTTCCCTTGGCAGCTTTTCAAAAAAGCGTAAGCTGAAATTCTGTGATTTTATATACCTTCGGAGTTAGCAGTTCAGGCATTAGTCTGCTTGCTTCTCATCCACTTGAGTTTGTTGCATTGGGTATTTTGATGTGGCCTTAGGATTGTCGATTGGTGAGGGGACAAGCTGGGCATGTAACAAACACTCAAGCCAAGTGGAAGAAGGCGTTGCTGCCCAGCAAAAACAATAATAACGTAGCTATTTGCTGACGAAAATATAAGATTGCCGTTCCAATACGTAGAATACTCTCAAATTAACAAACTTGAACAAGATAATTTCGCATAAGCGTACATGAAAATAACGTACAGCCAACCGATGTATATTAAAATGAACAATCTACGAAAACCTACATGAAATGATCTTTACTATCAAGATGAATTTATCTAGAACACTAAATGCATCATGAAAATACAGTTCAAATATAGTGGAAACACTTTTGTCGCATGTAACTATCTTCGCTTTGGATATCTCATTTACTTATCTACTCCTCTTTTTTACAATAACATCTTATATCCGAATTCAGATTCCAAGGCAGCTTTACAATCCACCTGGGATTGTGGCTTCTACACACTTTTGTAATAGTACAAATAAAAAAAAAAACAGATTGTGTTACTTTTAGAATAAAGAGATTATGGAAAGTGCGATGGCTCGTGTTTTAGAGGCTGCGGCAACCGTGGATGCCACCAGAGAAGAGCTTCACTGCGATACTCGGAGGAGACGGAATCGGAGAGAAGGCTACTCCGAGAACAAGCTCCTCTGCTGAATCTTCAAACTGCAGAGACCGCAGGTTTTCTGAGCAGAGAAGAGCAAGGAAGAAGCCAACGAAGCAAATCCAACACCAGTGGAGAGACGCCGGGGTATAGGGCGGCAAGCATTTCGGAGCACTGTCCACTCAACCTCTGACCTGGAGGGGCTGACTGCTGCGAACCCAGCACGCAATGGCAGAATGGATCAAATCCGGACAGTGCGGAGTGAAGAGCAGGCTGGATTTTGAGGAGCGATGTGAAATTTAGCGGCCGGGACTTGGATTGTGCGCGTGCAGAGGGAACCGCTGTCCGTAATTTGCTCCCGAGATCTGCCCTCGCCCTCCCTTTCCCGACGTCGTAGTTTGCTACGTTAGTGGCTCAAAGGCACCATAACCTACCTCAAGCTCAAGCTCATCCCTTATTGTTCGCTCCCTTTTGCGTTGTGCCTCTTTCGTATTCAGTAATCGGAACCGCAGCTTTGTTCTGCTGCTGCTGCTGCTGCTGCTGCTGCTGCTTTTGCACTGTCGTTAGTTGTCAGGATTGTGTTCATTTTCTCTCCCAGACTCTTATTAAACACGGAAGCCATGGGGGAGTTGGAGAGGAGAGGGAGGACGAAGAGGATGGGGAGAGGGAGGAAACATAGCGGTGTGGGGGAATTTTGATGAAATACTGGCGGCGCAAGGGGGGATGTGTTGTGCAAATGAGGTGAGAGATTGATGAGTTGGAGTGGAGCGATGGAGCGTGGTGAATCGCGGGATGCAAGTTGATTTATAACCATAGAATTGGATTTCATGCGCGTTGTTGGATTTTATTAGGGCTAGTTGGGCGTTGGGATGTGTTGAATGTGGAGTTAGGAGGTGGTTCTGAAGATCTAGCTGCACGGCGCTTACGATTCCTGGAGGTTGTTGGAGCCGAGAATCTGGATTTGTGATTTGGATCAGGCGATGCTCAATAGCGGCGCTCCGGATGCAAGTGTGCAGGATTGGCGTAATGAGGTGTCTGGTTAGGGTTGATAGCATGAGCAATGCAGTAACGTTTCAGATATGAAAATTTGTGGCGTGCATGGTTTGCGAAGGCTGTTGTAGAATTGGATCGTGTGATGTGGGCAGCTGGCACTGTTGAGCCGAGGGACAGTTCTCCATAACCTTCCGAATCTTATTACATGATATACTCGGGGGTTCTTAGATTCCTGCATTCAGGTGGCAAGGCGCTTCTGGAATATTTCACACTCTTGCTGCAAGGTGGAACAGGGAGGTGATTTTGCCTACACTTTCATCGTCTTGAATGTCGGCGCAGATTATTCTATTGAGGTGGTTTGGCTACGGACACCTTCTCTGGTAGCTAGGAGTGTGTGTGCTCAGCCATTTACGTACCTTAGAACTGGAAGATAGTGGTATTCAAAGGCGGCGACCTTTGCCTCGAGATGCGAGTAGGGACGTTCGCGGAAACGTCTTCAGCTTAGGGATATATCCGCAGCGTTGAATCAAATAAAAGTTCTCATGAGCTGCAGAGCTAGTTTCAGCTGTTTAGGCGGTTGATATCGGGGATCTCGTGTGATAATTTTGAGAAGGGAAGGTGGAGGGGTACAAAGTGTTTAGTTGTCCCGGCAGGTACTCAACAGGTTTTGGACATGGAGTATGAGAGTCCGACCTTCTTATCAACTGAGTGTGAGTGCCTGTTCCTCTTCTGCATATTCCTTGTTTTTTCTTTTTCTTTTTTCACGTCACGCTGCAGTCGATTGAAGGTTTCTGATGCTTAACGCTTGCGGACGCTGTCATACCTCCTTGTGTGGTATTGTGATTTAATCTTCAACTTTCGTTTTAATCAGTTCCCATGTCATGATTTTTCTGCTGGCCTCCGGCCTTCGTATGCAACGATAGGAATATGTGATCCGTGTTACAATTGATGTAGATGTTAACTTGTGTCTATCTTACTTGCTTCATGTAGCAAGCTATCGGAAGGAATTTGAAGAAGTTAAATCGAACGTTAATGTTTGCTGAGTTGTTCTAGTTTCATGAAGAGCAATTTTTTTGTGAGGGAGATGCTGTCTGCCTTCAGTGGGAAAACTACGCTGTAATGAAGGAGAGTCATGGCTCCTTGAATGCTCAATATCTATCGTGAAAATGGGGTCTACCTGGCTTAAAACGCTGAATTACGCGCTGTTGTTTTGCAGTCCGAATATTCTGTTTGGGCGAGTACGTGTATTCTACGTTATCTAGAAGGGTAAGTCTTTTTCGCTTTTTGTTCCAACGCAGAGTGTTGTTATGTTACAATGATGCAATGAGAGCTGGTGCCCTTGGCACCATTTCAATAGTGCCGGGTAGTCAAGCCTGTCAGCAGTTAGAGTTTGCCGGGTTAATGTTAGATGATAGTGATGCTGCGTGTGACACTGTAAGCTATCAGGACCAGATGGCTGTTGAGAGTTTCCACGTTATTAACGAACATGGTGACCGAATGAATTGGCTGCAGGTGGAAGATGTTTGCGATGTGTTATACAAAATTGCCCGACAGTGGAGTGTGGAATTTGCTGTTCAAAAGTGAGTCTTCTTTTATACCACGGTAACGTGTTCATTTCTCATGGTACTGTTACACGTGTTTAGTGTACTTTCAGATGAAATCAGTAGGTTGCATCCAAAAATTGGCTTGTGAAATGCTGCATCGGAAGCTGATAGAAGGATGTAGTTTTGAAAGAGGAACTTGAGGATATATCATAATATTATGAAGAGGTTTTAATTTATGTATGCATGGGTGTGGTGCCTGCTTTTTTGGACAGGTTTGTCAACCTCATGGTGAGTGTTGCAGTTTGGTGTTCTTCATTCTATGCCTTTGGACAGATTTCATCACAACTTTGAATACATCGAGACATGATTTTGGTAACAAGGATGAGTGTCTTATTGTGCTTGGTCCAGTAGTATTGTTCCTTTGACTACTTGGGTACTTGATATCGTGCATATATTGGGGTGCAGCTGATTTGAAATGTTCTTGGTTGTGCAGGTTCTGATTAATCCACGTCTTCATCGTGACCAACAAGATCAATTGAAGGTTTTCTATCGCTCTTTTCTAGTTTCTGGATCTTTTGTTTCAGAACCCGTAAAAGCATTCAAAAGCCGTTTTAATAGGAAGCTGTGTTGCATTCAAATGTGAATGCATTGTGTAAAACTTGTACAACAAGGAGAAATGCAGCCTGGATATTTTGCAGATTTTTCCTCACAAAACATCACCTGAGCTGACTTTTGAAATGGCATCTAGTATATCAATGACTTAGTGGATTTGGTATCTGAGGTTTGTTCTTCTTTTGTAATATGTTTCTTTTTGAATGCAGCCTTTGTTGACCAGAGCTTTGGATCAGCTACTATGGCAACGGGTAATGAATCCCCGAGTCATGAGGTATGAAAGCGGTGACAACAGCATGAATAATTGCACTCTTTTTTCTAAATGATTTTTTTGGCAATTTTTTGAATGATCATAGTGCTTCATAAAATTTGATTTGCTTTTTGTATGCAATTGCAGAGGCCTGATCGCTTTGGCATGTCCTAATCAAGACACTGCTCTTTTATTTGGTTATTTGGTAAGTAATTTACATAAGCGCGCTGTTTATACTCGCTCTCAAGGTGGACAATTGCTACTACCTTTGGTTTTAAGTAGATAAAATGACGAAGTGCTAGTTAGGGTGTTCATTCATATATCCACAATGATGTTAGCTTTCTTAGACCGGATAGCAGCGGGCTCTCTGGTGGTTGCTGATATTATATGTTGCTCATTGGCATCATCTCCTCTTTGCAGATGGAAATCATTGCTGAGCTTGTTTGCAACAACCCAACTCCTGAAGCAGATTCAAAGAGCAACATTGACGTTGAGGCTGCACCTTCCAGTACATTGAAAGTATGTGCCATTTGCTGCATGGTTCTGACTCAAAGATTTGACAAATTCTTGACTCAATGATATAATATCACGTTGCGCTGCAGAGATTTAGTTTGTGTTCTATTTTTATCTTTTTTCTGTTATGTAGGAAATTATCTGCAATCTGTGATAGTCTTTGTAGTCTCACTCATGCGTCAATAAAGATTCCAAGATATTGAGAAACTTGCCAATATTTGGTTTTGGGAGCTTATTGTGTTGTGTTGGCTTGCAGCTACATCATGAAAAGGCGAAGGTGGCGCAGTGTTTGTACCAAAACTATTGCCTCGAGCAAGTCTACGTTGCAGGAATGCCACCACCGGTAACCATAACCTCTACCAGGATCCTGTCACATTTTGTTTAGAGATTCTGCAACTGGGGCAAAGGACCCCTGCCTTACTCTCTGTGTCATCATGAGTATGGTGTGCTCGTTTTGCTAATGCCTGAATTTGATGTTTCAATCAAATAGAACTTGGGTCTTAATTTTCTATCTTTGTTTGTAGGTGCGGGAAGCTGTACTGACAGCTTTGATGGGATGTTCGGAAGCTCCGTTATTGGGGTCGGGATTTTTGGATACTTCCTCACATAGTCTTCAACATGCTACTCCTATTTGTTGCATCACTTTAGAGCCTCTCTTGTGTCCTGTATGTATTCTTTCTCATCAGCCTAAGTTCGTTTATAATCGCATGACCTCACCTGTTCATCCACTCAGTAATCTCTTCTGAGCTATTGTATTGGTCTGACATGATTTCTTGCGTGCAGGATGGTGCGATTGCACCTGATGTTGTGGCAGTGATACAACGAAGTGCCACACTTAGCAAGAATCATGCTGTAAGCGAATTTCTTTATTGATGCAATTTGGTGTCTTCCATGATGTTGTGCATGTACATGTCAGGCTACAGTGTGATTGAAACAGATCTGAATTCAGCTTACATATGATGTCTTAGTGACTGTTCATGTTAAAGGCGTCCTGAAATGCACTTCTTTTGAACCAAATGAGTTCAAATGAGTTTAATGATTCAGGAGAGGTTAATGAGCAAATTGTTGTTAATTATTCTATCTTATAATATTCGTTACCAGGTTGTTGCAAGGGTTGGTACAGTAAACAACTCATGAATACTTTCGAACTGTATTTTCTTTTTCTGAGAGCTACAATGGCACCATTAGACTCATTTGAAACATCACAGTAGTTTGATGTAAATGTTTTGTTCGACTGTTCTTGCAGTTTCTTTACCGGGGGCGTGCACTTTTTGAGTGGCTCAGCTCTTCGCCAGTTCCCAAGAGCCCGGAAACACGAGCAATGGTATTGCCAACCGACATATATAGACTCTCTTAATCTTGAGGACTGTCCTTTCTATTTGTGCACTTTGTCGGCGTACTCTGCACTTATACACCGACATAGGTTGACAAATTTGACTGACATGTCTAAATATTTAAAGCCTGGAATTGTAAAATTATAACAGAGCATCTTTAGTTGTCATTGATTGGTTGTGGAAATCAGGCGTAAAGAACTTAATCTTGACACCAGTCAGTCATGTCAAACACTTGGTAGCACACTTTTGAAAAGTCCGATTATCAGAGGAATGTAGGAGGGCCAGCAGCTTCATATTTCAGTACTTGTCTTATATTTAATTCATATGATTCGAGACTCAAACCTGTTTTGTTTAGATAGATGGCAGTTTTCTTTAAAATTTGAATTGTGCACTTCAAATTAAAACAAGACCAAAATAATATAATTTGTAAGACATTAATACTATCAAAGATAAATCATATTATCTTTATTAATATTAAATCACGAAATTCTAACACATCTTTTTTTTCTAAATAATTTTTTCGTAGTTATTAAAAGAATATAAAAAATATATAATAGAAGGAGTTTAAGGCAATTATTTAAGTGAGGTCCATTATCTAGGAACATTCTAAAAAGTCCAGAGTGGTAGAACAAAGTATAAATAAGACTAGTCAAGGCTTTCTGGGGCATCTAGTCAAGTAAGGCTTTGGACCCTTTTTCTTACTAAAATTTGGTTTTACATCCTTCTATCCTTCTATTTAGTTTAGTTCTGTTCTATTTTTTTTTGTTCAATTTTATCTATTGTGTCATATTTTGATTAATCTTATTTAGTTTTGTTCACTTTTGTTTTGGTCTATTTTGTCCTATTTTGTGATGAGGCTTTATGTTGCTATAGTTTTGAAGGGTCTTGGATTTTAGAGATAGATTGGTCATATTTCAAAATCCAAAGATTAATTATGTAAAAATAAAATCTCTAAAAAAAATTATATCTCATGTATGAAGAATATTTTGGTCTTTAAGATGATTTTATAGAAATAAAAAAGTATGTACACTATTTTAATGTTTGAAATAATTTCTTTTATATAAAAGTGGCAGCTTTTGTAAAGAGTTTAGAAATTGGTTTTATAAAATACTATGAATAAAAGTTATATATGAATAAAAATATTAAGACAATAATTCTTCTACTATAAAAAAATATGAATCATAAAACAACCAATAAATTAATACACTCTAATGTCACTAGAAAAGAATAAATATTCACTTAATGAAAATATTAAAATTAAAATGGCTATTATCAAAGATAAGAAGATTAAAAACTCTTATATTCTTTGTATTCTTTTAATAACTACAAAAAAAATATTAAAAAAAAATAAAAATGTATTAGAATTTTGTGATTTAGTATTAATAAAGATAATATGATTTATCTTTGATAGTATTAATGTCTTACAGATTATATTATTTTTCTCTTGTTTTAATTTGAAGTGCATAATTCAAATTTTAATTAGACCTTATATAATGTTGCAATTCTATTTTAAATGATTAATGTCTATTTTTTTTTTATAATTTACTTGGATTTTCTTGTAATTTTTTTTTTTGTAAAAAACATAAGTTTTATTGAAATTGGTCTAGCAATATAAGAAAAAAAAAATTGAAGTTTTTGTTATTTGAAATCAATTAGTAATAAAATATTTTTTCTTTAAAAACCATAATTATATTTTTATTGTTATCATTTAAGTAGATGGTATGTAGAAAAATATGAATGAAGCCTTTCTCAGTTTTCTCAATATTTTTTTTATCATCAACCTTGTGTCAAGTGCCCCTAATCTTCTTATTTTTAGTAATAGCCATTGTAGTTTTAAAATTATGACTATTTTTGAATGAATATCTATTCTTTTTAAATGATATAAGAGTGTATTCACTCTTTGGTTGTTTTGTCTTTCACAAAAAATGTATAAAGTTGAATTTTTTCTTATATAATATAAATTTGGGTCTATTAGGTATATTTTGCTTATAAAATATTAATTTTTGTAATTTCAAATATCAAAGAATAATTATGTTGAAATGTGCTATATACAATAATAATCATTTAATTTTATAATTAATATGCATTTATTTTAAAATTCATTTATATACTTTCAAATTCTAAATTTTATCTTATTTTTATGATAAAAAATAATAAGTTCATTGACTTTATAATTTTTTAAGTTCTAATATTTTTTAAAAAAATCTTATTAATATAATTAAAATTAATAATAATAATAATATTATTATTATTTATTTAATTTTTTACAAAATAGTTTAAAAAATTATACTTATATTAAAATTTTTAAAAAAATACTTGAAATATATAAAATAAAAATCATATATATATATATATATATATATATATATATGTATATATATATATATATATATATATATATATATATATGTATATATATATATATATATATGTATATTTATATTTATATAATTTATATAAATTATAAAATAAAGTTGTATAAATATTTAAATATGTATTTATAAAACATTCAAAATTAACCTTAAAAAAATTTGGATTTAAGAATAAAAATTATTGATGATTTTTTTAAAATTAAATGTATTGTAAAATATCATTATATATTAATTCTAGTAAAAAATAAAGTTAGTCTTAATTATTTTTAATATTAAAGTAATTAAAATTAAAAAGTTTTATAATTTTTAATAAATTATTTTTGAAATATTAAAAAATCATTATCTTTATGTTTGTCTCAATTAAACAAAGATAGATACTTTCGAAGTTGGGATTTGAATTACCAATTCACCATCCTTAGGTTTTTTAAGGTCATTATTGACCAAAATTTGAAAAAAAAATATATTTAATTTATGAATCTATATATATATATATATATATATATATATATATATATAAAAGAAAACATGGTGTCATATGAGTTTGCTTGTAATGGCAAACCTACGTAAAAAAAACATACAATAATAAATACTTGAAATGCCTTGTGATTTAAAATAATTATAGATTATTTTGAAACTTTAATTAAGTTGTAAAGTATCTAAAATGTCTAAACACTTAACTATGAATTTTTTTACTTAAAATGAGTTTATATATATTATATATAGTATATATAGAGGTAAGAGTGAAGCCTTTTTCACTCTTATTAACTTCTTTTTTGTTTCTAATTTAATTTCAAGAGTTTGTAGTTTCCCTATGTTTTGGCAATAGCCATTCTAATTTTCCTTTTAATATACATAATTCTCTATTTCTATTTCTTTGAAAGAGTCTCACTTGTTTATTTTTTTTCTTCGAGTTCTTGTCCTTGAAAAATTGACAAGAATAAACTTACAATATCAGAGCTTTGTCTTTTCTTGATTTAGAGTGGATTATCCCTTTCTTTTAATAAAACTTAAGCGTATTAGGAGTTGGAGATTATCCTTTTCTAAACTAATATTGTCCTTAGCATTTTTTTTCTTTGTTTCTAAGTCTTTTTTTTTCATTTGTCTTGAGTGATATCAAACATCTTCTTTTCTTTAAGTATTATTGTGGTAGAGCTTCTTGAAATAAAGAATGCCATTGTACAAATAAAAGAACAATTATAGAAGTTAATGCTTGCAATGCATCAACTCAATTTACCAAAACATGGAGCAATAAGAATAGCAAGGAGTGAAGATATAGAAATGATTGGATTTGCTTCAATAACTACACCAAATCATGTCCCTTTTCCTATGGTGGAACACCCTTTTAGTATTAGAAAACCAAAAATTATACTACTTGAGAAGTTTGATATCACAAAATCCAAGTTTTGAGGATTTATTAATCAACTACAACTTCTAATTGATCTTCAATCCTAGAGCTATCCAATTCCAAGATCGTAAGTTAGATTCATTGATACACTTCTTTAAAGTTTAGTATTATTATGGTTTTTATCTTTTTTGAATGATAAGATCTAATATTAGATAATTTAGAGGCTTTTTTGGTGGATTTTTTATCTATGTATGGAGAATATGATGAAATTTGTATTATAACTAATAAAATCCATATCTAACAAGAAGGAAATTAATCAATAATATTATATACTTTTTAATTTTACCAACTTACAATTGATATCAAGTGGGATGATGTTGCACTTATTATCCAATTTTTCTATGGATTACAATATGAAATAAAACAATTGATGTTCAATTTACTTGATACTCAAACATTCAGTTAAGAAATTCATTTTGTTGTAAGGTAAGACAATTAACTTTTTGAATTTTGATCTAAGAGTCATATAAGTGCACCTCAACACTACCATAATTCAATAATAATGCCAACATCTTTTCAATACATATATTCAAAAGTAGAAAATATGCAAATTGATGCAGTATATTTCAAACCTCCTATTGAACAAAGAAAGACTTATCATCTTTAAGAAGGATTATACTTGTATCGTGGAAAACTTAAGCACACTACTCAACATTTTTTAAAGAAGAAATACAACCAAAAAATGAGGAATACGGTTGTCAAAAAAAATAGTATGTCAAAAAAAGAGTTTGTTTAACTAAAATAAAAATTATACAATTGGAATCTTGTACAACATCTAGTGAAGGTCCTATTTTCTTCTTAGAATCCTCTTTTTGTTTTACAATAAATATTATTTTAGGAACTAAACATTACAAAGTCTTTGTTTTGTTAGATTTAGGAGTTTCAACATGTTTTTTAGATGAAGAATTTTCTAAAAGACATAGCATATCTTTAATGAAGAAAACTAAACATGTTCATATAGAAGTCATAGATAGTTGTCCATTATCTTTACAAAATGTTATTCATGAAAACCTTCCTATAGAAGTAATGATTAATAGTCATAGTAGCTTTATAATATTTAATATCATTAAATCTCTTTTTAATCTAATTATTTTAGGACTATCATGGCTAAAAAAATATAATCCAAAAATAGATTGGATTTCTTGTAGTCGTGATTTTTTTGAAAGTATAACTAAGAGTACAATTTGAATATAATATCATACCTTTTAGACTTATAAATGCACCAACAGCTTTCCAACATCTAATGAATGATATTTTTGAGAATTTTTAGATGACTTTATTATCTGCTATTTAGATGATATGTTAATCTATTCAAAGAATACAAAAAAATATGAACTTCATGTTCATCATGTAATATAAAAACTAAAAGATACAAGACTCTATGCTAAGTTAGAAAAATGTGTATTTCATACTACTCAAGTCAAATTTTTAAAATATATTATTTCAAATGATAGACTTATGATAGATCTTAAAAAAATTTAAACTATTATGGATTCAAAGATTTTAAAAATAATAAGAGATGTTTAATGTTTTTTAAGATTTGCCAACTGTTATAAGATCTTCATCAAAAACTTCTC